GATCTGCCTCACCCGGGAAGAGCGCAATGATGGTGCCAACTTGGGCCAGTGAAGCAACGTCCTCCACAACTAGACTGAAGAACAAAAAACGACAGCAACTTGTCGGTTCCCCTTCCCCCAATTCCCCAGCGCTGTTCCCATCCCCCAATTCCCCAATAAAAATCTTAAAAAAAAGAAAAAAAAGAAATGGATTCTAATTGTGCCAAACATAGAGGGAATAAATAAAGCAAGTATCAATTTTGGGGTGATTGTGCCCCACTTGGCAACCCCCATTTTATTGAAGATGTTGCTACTTATTTGTTAAGGGACCTTTTTTCCCACAGGAGACGGGCATCCCTTTGCCTTCGTAGGATCAGGATTCAAGTCTGGCTGGCGGGTGGGTCTTTCCTTGGCTATTATGATTTCATCGACAGTGGCGAGTTGTATTGCCACATCGGCTGCGGCTTGGAGCCCGTGGGCTTTGGCTGTCAGCGTGTCCCATACCTCTTCCTGGGCCACATTGATTATCCATTCGTCCCCCACCCCTATGAGGAAGTTCCCAGCTTGGTGAGCAGCATTCATTTCTGCCATCACGTCCGAGACAGCCAAGCCTGCATTGTCTGCCAAGGTCGCAGGAAGAGAGCGCAGGGCCTGGGCGAAGGCGAGGAAGACGGGGCCATCGGGCGCTTCCGACCCGGTTCCTTTCTCTGAGAGCATCGTCGCCAGCGCCATCTCTGTGGCCCCAGCTCCAGGAAGCAGCCTGGGATCCTGACACAACTGACCGTAGGCATCGATGCCATGATAGGCAGCCTGCGCCGCCTCCCGTAGCCCCTCAGTCGTGGCCCCCCGAAGGACCAACGTGAGGGCAGGGGTGTCTCGACATTTCCACTCAAATACCACAGCCAAGCCTTCTCCCAGCTCCTGCGCGTACACCCGCTCACACTTCCCTGGCTCCGATGGAGGGATCAGATACGGCATCAAAGGTGTGCCCAGCACCTCACTCAGGGAAACCAGCTCCCGCCGGGACTCGACTTGAATCACCATGATGCCGTACTTACCAGCCTGCGCCAGGGCCTGGTCTTCCACTGCCCCCCACACCACTGCCACGTTGACGTCCGCGGCTGCCAGCTGGGCGACTTGCTTGTCTATCAGCTGCTCGCTTCCTTTCCTAAATGTAGCGAGGTCTGCAGGCCTGGAGAGACGGGGCGTCGCACGTGCATACGGATCGGCGAGACCGAAGGTGCAAGCAAAGAGGGCCACCCTGGCGCCGCTCAGCACCGTGCTCGCCTCCCCGCAGGGCTTCCCGGCCACGGCCAGCCCTGGGAGCAGGCACGAGTCCTCCAGGTGTCCTCCCCGCAGTGTGCACACCCCCACGCGCTCGGGGTGGAAACTGCCGTCCGGCTCTATTGCCGCCCCGCACGCGTGGGCCACCAGGTTGGTTAGGTATTCCGTCTGGTACAGAGTGTGGGTCTTCATCACGGAATAGAGGACCCAGAACGGGTCTTCCAAAGGCCCCAGGGACCGGATCGCCAGCGAAGGCAGCAGGGCCAGGGTCTCTGCGGTCGCCGTGGCATAGGCCTCCCCGAGCTGGGTGCGAGGCAGGCCGGCCAGCAGCAAGCGCTCGGCCTGCGCCAGCAGGGCCTGGGCCAGCAGCACCACGGAGGCTGCGCCGTCTCCGCTGTGCTCAGCCTGGCTGAGGGCTGCGTCCCTCAAGAGCCGGGCGGCGGGGTGTTCTAGCTCCAGGGCCCCGAGGATGGCCACGGCATATCCCGTGAGGACCGTTTCTCCCCTGGCAGTCACCAGGAGCTTCTGGCGCCCGTGGGGTCCGTAGCACGGCCGGATGACCCTGGCCAAGGTGTGTGCCGCGGCCAGGCTGCTGAGCAGGTGCTGCTGTTGGGCCCCGGGATCCCTCGGGCAGAGCCACAGCCGCTCCGGCAGACCCCGCGCAGAAGGGGTTCCGTTGTCCATGGCCTGCAGAGGGGGAGCCCACCGGGCTGCAGAGACGCTCCCAAAACAGCAGCTAGCTACTCAAGGAGTCAGTAGACAAAGGGGCCAACTGCCCATCGACTGGAGAAACAGGTGCTCCAGGCAGGCCTAAAACCACCCTCCTCCCCAAATAGATCTGTGAAGGAACCTGGTTCTTGGGGCCTCCGACGCCTGTAGCTGAAGCAGGTCTTATCTTGATGAGGTCACAGAGTGGCACATAGAACCAGGGGTAGGGAGTGAGGTCACAGAAGGATGGTTAGGGTTGGGGAGGGTCTGCAAGAGGGCAGAGGTCAGGGCTGGCTGTCAGCAGATGAGGGACACTCGTATGTGCCAGGCTCCAGAGTTTCATTTAAACTTTGGAGCCCATGACGAGACAATGACTCCGATGACAATATCCACCCATTTCAAATTCCCGATGGAGCTGCGGTTCCTCTGCTGTTTGTTTCTGTCTGTATGAGAGGGAAGCAGTGTGTTGGTTTTACTCTCCTGTGCAGTACTGTGTAATACTAGCCATGTTTTCTTATCTGCCAGCTTTGCCTCTTTGGCCACCTTATCTGTTTGTGCTGTTCATCAGGTTCCATAAGGTGTCTGTTGGTCTGTTTGTCTTTCAGGTTGCAGGTGCGTGAGGCTGCACTGAGTGCGACAACTCCTGCGGATGACAGTGATGTCCCTTAGGGAAAGATGCAGACAAATAGAAATGGACACGGGCCAACGGGACCAGCCTCCCAGTGGTCAGGAAGGTAGAAAACCAAGGTGAGTGGAGCCTGAG